TTTTTCTTAAATAAGAATATGCTTAAAATAAGTTTATGGTGGTGCCCTAATCAAGAAGGATTGCTAACTGAATCCATATTGGTAATTAAAGCTACGTGAGTGGTGTTCATTCAGGAAACCTAAACCTGACTGAAAGGAGCTAACTTGTGAGACGGTATGAGTGTGAAACGCTGGTATTGGTGCTACAGTTACCCAGGGCTTTACTTCCTGTTCTGTTTGTGGGATTTGTGATATTTTTCCACTGCAGACAGATGAAGTTTTAGGGTGAAAAGAGGGACGAGGCAGAAGCAAGGAGCCTTGTTTGGAAATCGTTATGTTTTAGTTTGTATTAAAGTAGTGTCACCTAGAGGCTCCAACAAAGAATACAGCCAAGGGGTGCTGGGCACCCTGAGCAGGCACACGCCCAGAGGCAGTTGCAGAGGCAGAGCAAGGCGCAGACACAGGGAGTTGCTTGCTGGCAGGCAAGAACAGATCAGTAGCCCTGGGTTTGGGCTGTATTTGAACCAGTATGATTCTTAGCTGTGTGTAACTGCAAAGGAGTGTTTGGCCTGGGTTAGATCTCTGGTGCCTCACTTCTTGTCATGAGATGCTATCCTCTCTGGGTGTCCATGGGTGACGAAAGAAGACATGGGAGAAATGACAGCCAGCGTTGCACTGGCAGTTACCTGCTCATCTTGGTGTCAGCTGAAGACGTTATGATAGGGTCACTAGTTTCCGTTAGGAACAGAGTTAGTAGTTTCTTTACGAACAGAGTTAGTAGAGTCCTTTAGGACTGTGTGGACTCTGCACGTGTCCATCCAGGTGGGATGACTGTGCTTCAGAAATGTTAAAGACTCCTGCAAAACTGTAAAGCTGGCTTGAGGGTAAGCTGCAGTAACTAGCCAACTAGCCCCTGAAAGCCCAATTATGGGAAACGTGATACCAGTGCTTGGAATGAAATGGTCTTTTGAGAAAGCCAACATCTGCTGCTTTTCTGCAGTAGTTGATAGGTTTTCAGTGCTTAAAACAGAGGTAGATGCTTTATAAAGGTAGTCTTTTAGACACCTGGCTTTCTCAATAAGCCGTGTGAAAAAATCACTGGGAAGGTGTAATTCCATTTTTTACCCTCCTCCACAACATGTAAAGTACCAGTGCTCTAGGGATGTGTACTTGGCTAAACCATCTGGATCTCTTCTTCCTCAAGCAACAAAGACATGTAAACATGAGTATCAGATACACACACAATTGCTTTTATGACAATATAAACATATTTAAAATACATCATTTTCAAATAATGCCACAAATCATGTATAAATGACAGTACTTGACTAGTTTAAATTTACTATATGGAGCTTACTTTTTATTAAGCAACTTCTACAGCCTGTGTCTGACATGAAGGCTGTAACTATTCCAAAGAGGCTGGATATGTGCCTGGTTCTGTTTTCCTAGTATTAGGGATTCACAACATCGTAGTTTGAGAAGTAATTTCCTTCCGTCTCTCCCTCTTTGCTCTATGGCTTCCTCTGCTGCTTGACCGTTAATGCTGACCAGTAGTATGTATAGGTTCATTAACGCTATTATAAATTTAGTCAATACTCTTTTAGTGGACTCCAGCTGAGCCCAAACTGACTCACTGCCCTCCAGGGTGTAGTGAGACACTTAATTACCCTTGTACTGTTCAACAGGAACAATGTCATGGGCAGCATTTTGCTGTGGCTGGAGAGGTTGAAGCTTCTTTCTCTATTGGCTGCCATTTTCAAGTTTAAAGAAGGGGATTTCGGGATAATTCACAGCTCTGTATAATAACAGTGGAAAGCCAGTGCTCTCTTGGAAATGAGAATTGGATTGTCACGTTTCATTACAGTACTTACATGGATTTTCCTTTGATGGTGAGAGTATTCCTTTGGGTTGTCTTTGGACAGAAATGCAAGTTGAAAGAGCGAAGTGGAGGGACAAGTAATCCTTTAGTTGAGTGGCACATGTTTCAGCACCTCCTACTGTTTGAAACCAAAGAAGCCTTCACACAATGGAGGAAGGGTGGGTATTGTATCCAGTATGGCAAAAGTCGTACTCAAACATGCGTGTAATTGATGATGGGCCACAGTATCATGCTGGGCGTGCAAACTGCTAGAATGCTGTGTATTTCTCATTGGAGTAACTAAAGGGAAGTTTGAAGTGAGTCTAGTGCAGTAAGCGTATATTAGGGTGTGTAAGTTGATATTCTGCAAGGCACATTTGTCGCTATTTCAGTGTTGCCATAATTTCTGCTAATAGTGTTGTCTGTGGTTTAAAGCCAAGTCCTGTGTTGGATCATGTGATAGACATGTGATGCAATGTAGACAATGGCTATTTTAAACAAGTCTGTACGTGGTCATTTTTTCTGGCTTTCATGTGTTATACTGGGTCCTGTGCTGGAGGTTTTCATCATATGTCAACAGTGTGGTTTCTTGAGGTGTTTTAACTATACTATAGTAAAAATGGAGTGATTTACTTTTCTTTGTAATTAGGTCAAGTGATTGTGTAGTCTTTGAGAACCCAATACAGCCTTCCACTAGAGAAATGCTCTGACTGCACCATTGGAAACTATGGATGAATAATATATGAAATCTCTTCTGTGTATCGTAAAGGTGAGGAATGGGTTCAAGGAACATGCTTTAGAGGCGAAGAAAGTGAAGAAATAGTTATAACTTCTTAACAGCAGACTAAGGCATCGCTAGCTCGAAGTTTGAGTATGCATATCAACTGTATGGCATATTTGCATTAGAAGAACCTTTAGTGACTTTGTCATTTGATTCCTGCCTGTCATTACCCTTTTTATTTACTCCTACACTTACAGAGATTTGCCTTGTCCCTCAGGTTTTATTACCTGTCCACAGCACATCAGTGGGGAATAGAGAGGAATAGCTGCAGAGAGTCCTTTCACTGCTTATGTCATGGAGAGAGCTTCTGTGTAGTCACTGAAGTATACAAACACTCATATGTGCCATAAATATCCAAACAAATCACAGAGCAGACATCATCAAAAACAGTCAGAGAAGGAAGTGAAGTAGGAGGCATCATTCAGAGCAGGAAATAAGAGGAAGGCTTAATAGCAGTCACAAATTCTGGGTTAGTCATTTGTCTCCATGGTGGGTGGAGGGACCTGCTGAAACATTGCGTCACTTGCAAATATTAGTCACTGAAGCCATTGTCAGAACCTCTGAATGAGAGGGGCAAGATTTTTAGCCTTCTAAGAGAAAATATAGTAAGAAAAATGGGCTAGGAGGACTTACTGATTGCAAGGTGTTACATATGCCCTTCCTTATTCACACATTGTTTTGTATGGATGCTGTCAACATAAACATTGCATGTCAAGCATATTATAGAGAATTACTATTTTCCATTAATTTTCCCTAATTATTTGTTAGGGGAAATTATTCTTTTCCCTGACTTAATTAATGCTATTTATGTGTTGTGTGTCTGTATGTGATTTTATTGCTTAATTCAATTTGGGTATTTTGAAATGGGTCAGTTCAGATTCATAGTTACGTTCTAATATATTGCTGTTGTGCTCACACAGCATTATGGTATTTTAAATTTCCTAGTTGTTTGTGAAATGTATTCACTGTTTCATTTTACCTTACACAGTTGCTGTTGCTGTTACTAGATTATTTGTTACTTGGGACATAGTTTTTATCACATGTGTGCACACTCTATGCAATGCAATTCCTATTCTTAAATGATTTACAGGAGGTGTTACAAACAGGCTAAAGAATGAACACATAGGTAGTCCTTGATTTTGGCTCACAGCACAGGAGGAAGATGTGGTGCAAGCTTTGCGTACTGTGTGGGAACATGGGGGAGTCAGCACCCCAGTCTGCCACAGAGTGTTTTCTTTTTAGGGCTTTGGCAGGTTGATTGTCTCGCCTTGTCTTATATGAATTGATTGTTTGGCACATCCCAGCGCAGGCTTTGAAGAACGTGGATAAAGCACTCACAGAGCCTGCATGGTGGATTCTTTAGGCAAGGTAGCCCTGTACAGTGATAGCTGGTAGTACAGGCAAAAATGCAGTTCTCAATTATAAAATACAAGTCAATGGCATTTGAAAACGAGACAGCAATGTGTATATGTATTAAATGGTATATATATCTAGATGATGACAGATCACGTGTGTGTATGTGAACATATATGCAAATAGAAATCTAATTTACAAGTTAATAATATGAGAACAAGGAAATTTCAAGTGGAATATATTTTACAGTTCTTGGATTAATAGTTTCTTTCACTGGGTTTAGCATACTTCATTAATTACACTAGATGCGTGCCTATCCTGCATTCATTTTGAAACCATCAATGCTTTCGTATGAAAAGAACTGTAAGAAGTGTTTTCTTGTATCTGTGGACAAAGCTAATGGAAAAACGCAATCCTCTCGACCATGTATTTATCTGAAAGATGTGTTGTGTATCTGCAGTTGATTTTCTAGAATGCTGATTAGCTAATACTGTTTCTGGCATGCAGCTTATCCATCGTGTCGGAGAACACTATCTGAATTTCAATTTACTTTTCAAAATGATGTTGAACTGCTGTTCCTTTGAAGGCTTTTCTGGCCATGTGGGGACCCAGTGCAGACAGTGGAGCTGCAGTCTGGTCTCAAAATATAATTGGATTGATAGGAGGCAGCTGAAGCAGTGACTGTTGAAGAGCTTGAGATGGATGGCAAAAAATAAGTGATTCTGAGCAACTTACGTAGTGTCCTTGTTTGAAACTCTGCTGCCAAGTTTATTTTTACTTTCGTTGGTAAGAGACCTTATGGCGAAAGTCCTGTCCTTCAATATACCTAAGGAATTCATTAGTTATGTGTGGTTTTGATATGGTCATGTTGCTATTAAACTTTATGCCTGTGAAAGTAAGTAGGCTTAATAATTGAATGAGGAGTGGAGAGTTAAGGTAATGTCAGGTTTTAAGCCCTTTGTGCCTGCCAGCAACTTGCCACTGCTTAAACTTCCAAAATCTCACCCTCCTCAACATTTGTTTTTGCAGTGATGGGTCTTTCCCTTACGATTCTGTTCCCTGGCAGCAAAATACCAACCAGCCTCCAGGCTCTTTATCAGTGGTCACCACAGTATGGGGTGTGACTAACACCTCTCAAAGCCAGGTAAGCTTCCTTTTTATGCTCCCTCCTCTCTAGATAAGGATTTTCACTAACATTTGCAAAACTGAAGGGTTTTCGGAAAATTCTCTTGGGACTGATAACAGTGTATTTGTTGTATGTGGTGCATTTTTTTTCCAGTGGTCTCCTCTTTGGAGGCATCGAAAGGAGGTGTCTGAGAGCATGAGTCAGTAACTCCTTTAGCTGCATGCAAACGTCAGGCTTGGGTTTATCACGTATTTTACACTGTATGGTTTCAACACTAAAAGCATGATTTTGGGATAATACCAAACTTCTTGGGAATTTCAGATTGAATTTGAAGAGTTGTTTTATAAAAGACCCCAGAAATTCTAGCTAGATTCACTGAATGACAGTTGTTGATTTTACCTGGGGTTGTGTTGTACTTGTGGACTGGTGAAATACACTGCCAGGTCTACCCCCACACTGAGCTGCTAGCTGACTACAGGCTGTGCTCTTTTCAACCTTTCCTGTTAATACAGCCTTATTTTGAAAAAATATTTCGATGTGCATCGGAGCAAAAGCATGAGCTCCTGGTGTCCAGGTGAGACCCACACTTAGTGGATTTTCATTTGGTTCTCTCTGCTCTTACCTCTCTTTTTCTTTTGCAATGTATATTGAATTTTGCTCTACAAAAAGAAGCAGCTTTTATGAAGGAGATGCCGATTATTTGTGATAGTGTGTTCCCCAAGGGATGTGGCGCAAATCAAGCTCTCAGGCAGTCTAGCCTTTTCTTACACTGTAGATGAAGTGCTCTAAACACATCACCATCTTTAATGAGTACATAAATCTAAGTTGTCTTTTTTACCTTTTTTAAGTCAAGTGGTATTAGATCCAATACAAAATTTTGTGTGGAATTGTTTTTATTATGTTAATTTTGGTCAGAAAAATAAAACCAGAATTGTTATGGATTGAGCCATTATTCAGGGACCAAGTCATACAAATACTCACATGGCAGTTATGTAAGCATTGGTTGTGGCAAAATCTTTCTTCAAAAAGTAGAGAGGAAACAGTTACACAGATCTATAGCATCATTTATTATTGTTTGTTTCTTTTTAACACCTTAAAAGTTATCCCATCTGGGAAAGAAACACCGGAGTAAACACATAGGTCTATACATTGGCCAGAAAATGGAAATACAGTTTCTTGTAGAAATCCTTCACACTTAAAAAGGCAAAAGGAAAGAGGGGGAGATGGCGGGGGGAAGATTCAGAGTTTTGTTCTGTCCTAAGAACACTGTAATGTTACTTGAACTCTTTGTGATACTTCAGAGGAATGTGCAATAAAGGGGAAAAAAGAGTGCTTTGGTGAAAAGAAGAAGATGGTTTTTCAGAATCACTGCAAGAGAAGGGTGAAACTCTGAAACGTGAAGCTGGGTTGTGGTTGTTCACAGCAGATTAAAATGAATGACGGGGTTTCCCATAAGTCTTTAAGCTCCCCAAGGGAAAAAGAATGGGCCAGGATCACTGATTTCCTTTCACAATTCCCAAAGCTGAAACTTGGTCTTGTGCAAAAATTGCTATATTTTTTTCCCAAGAGAAGACAGATTTACATGCAGGTGATCCATGAACAGCCGTACTTACATCTCAGTGGAAATCATAGCAGTTTTGGTTCAATTGAAAAAAAAAAATATGCTTCAAACAAGCAAACCAAGTCCTTTTAAAAACAGAACAGAGGACACTGAAATATGTTCTTTCATAGTTCCTGCATCTGTAGCACCATTTGCAGTATGCCTATGGGACTGAATATTTCCAAGTTATTTTGAAGTCCTATATCCAGAAAACAAAAAAAAAGGCATTTACTTTCTCTTAATCAGGTGAATTTGTCACAAACAGAGCATGGTTTTAGTAGGTCTGTGTAGTAACTTTTTTCATAGGTGTGTTAGTTTGGGTTCCATCTAGTTAAAAATGTGTGAAGGATAATTAGAGATCAGAAACTCTGCTTGGAATGTCAAAAGAAGAAATCGCCAGGAATGTGCATCTAGACATCAACAAGGTGTACACTTATTAGAGTTCACAGTACAGGGTGGTTGTATTTTAATTTATTGATTGCAGAAGATCAACTTAATTTGCTTGAGGTAGTTCAAGGTACAGCCCCTTATTCTCATGTTTCTCCTCACAGGTGCTGGGAAATCCAATGGCAAATGCTAACAACCCTATGAACCCAGCAGGAAATCCCATGGCTTCTGGGATGACTACCAGCAACCCTGGAATCAATTCCCCTCAATTTGCTGGACAGCAGCAACAATTTTCAGCGAAGGCAGGCTCCACTCAGCCATACATACAGCAGAGCATGTATGGGAGACCCAATTATCCTGGAAGTGGAGGCTTTGGTGGCAGGTAAGATTTACTTGTGTGAGGTGGGAAATGAATGTAAATCATTGATGAAGCTTGTTTTAGTGGCCTGGCAGAAGTGTCTTGGGCTTATTTTAATTGTATAAAGTCTCAGTAGCTATTTTATGCTGGTTAACTCAAGTGCGTGCTGCTTTTACAGCTTCAGAAATCAGCTACCCAAACTGCAGTAAAATTCATCACAGTAAACAGAAATGGCTTAGGTCAATCAATTAGCTTTAATAAACCCCCAAAATAAAGTTTTAATTAAGAGAGATTGTTAAACAGACCACACACTTAGGAATGATTAACATTTAATAAGGCCAGGATGTGAAAGGTATTGATGGCATAATTTCTATGTGTGCATGGAGGAATAAACTTGTATTAGGCAAAGTAGGTTCCAATGCATGGCGTATTGCTGCCCAAATACTTACTCCACAGTAGGAATTTGAAAAGAATTGGGGGTGAAGAGATGGTCAGGCTGTGTGTTTTTTGGGGGGAAGTAAATGCTGCATTAGTGAAATAAAGCAAAACTGGTATCTTGGGCTTTGTTACATTTTTACTTTCCGTGTCTATGCTTTGTAAACAAGGGTGATAAGTGTGCTTAACTGAAACCACTATTTATGGTCCCTCTGCAAAGCCTGCTGAAAAGGTTGTTAGCATAGTCAGTCTACGGTGAAGAATGAAAGCCTGGGACACCGAGAACTTCTCTTTCCTTTCATCTCTGCCACTGATTTACTGAATGACCTTGAACAATCAGAAAGTTTCTTTGGCTTTTTATTAACATCTCTAAAATGGGCACAGTATACTGGCTCATATTTATAAAAATGGTTGATGTCTCGGAGTGGGAGAGGCATGGTTTAGCTTAATTTATCTTAAGATCAATAGGAGAGCCTGGTAGGAACTGCAGAATACACCGTATGGGATCCAGTAGAGCTGATTGCGTTGTGTCTCTCCTGTCCTTTCTGCTAAGGGTCAGGGAAGAAAACTTTTACAACGGTGGGAGCACTTGGCGTAGTTCACCACTGAGGCAAATAAACACACTGCAGTGGAGAAAGCTGTCTGTTCATGCTGCTGTGCAATATGCCCCTACACTGTTGGGAAATGGAGCATGCATTAACTTTCAGGATTTCAGTTCAGCTTCACAGTAAGCTACAGAGCTGCAAAGCAGAACACTGCCCCTGAAACTACTGATGGTGGGACCTTGCAATCCCAGTGGCTATGACGGGTACACCTGAGCAACACTTGCATCTCATATACACACCTCATGCCTTGTGCTGCTGGCTTTCATTAGGTGTTGTACATGGTTTTGGAACAGTTCCAGATGAGTATCACACCAGCGTTCAAAACAAAATCCACCAGGCACGTCTTAATTCTCTCTTTCTTTCTTTCTTTCCTTTCTTCCCTGTCAGTTACCCGGGAGGCCCAAATACCCCTGCAGGAATGGGGATCCCTCCCCACACGAGGCCGCCAGCTGATTTCACCCAGCCAGCTGCCGCTGCCGCCGCTGCTGCAGTTGCAGCTGCAGCTGCTACCGCAACAGCGCTACAGCAACAGCGACAGCTACAGCCACTGTGGCAGCCCTTCAGGAAACGCAGAATAAGGACATGAACCAGTATGGACCGGTAAGAGAGTAACCCTTATGTCTTCCTACCTGCCTGATCTAGACCATTACAGGGAATTGGGCTGTCCTTCTTATTCCCCTGTTTATTAGGGTGCCTACTCTATTTTTGTTACTATTTTTTTTTTATTTTTTTTGTGCATGAGCATGGTTATAAACGCTTATGAGAAACTGCTGGAATGTGTGTATGTAGGTGTGAGTTGATCTCCCATGTTTTTCCCAGTAAATCTTGCCTAACTGTATTTTGTAGTTTGGAGATTGTCCCTTAAAAAATAATTGAAGATTACCCAAAGTTACAGCTGTCTCTGACGTGATATATTATTGCTGCCTCTCCCAGCCTTTGAACCTTTAAATTTGAGTACCTGGTAAAGTGTTCCAGAATCTTGGAACAGGTTTTGTACTGCTTCAGTAATTGTTTATTTTGCCAGCTACAGTTGGTTGGTTGGTTGATTTCCCCTCCAAACAAGGAAACAACAGTAGAGAAGGGATTTGCTTTTTAATAACATTGTCTGTGAGGACAGCTATGCGAGACGTGCATTTTTGGTGATCCATAGCCTCCAGCATGTCATGTCTTCATGTAATATTTTTCTTAAAATAAACAAGGGTTTGATCAATTCAGGTTTTTCCCTCCTTAGCTTTTTTACCTCTCTGAGTTCTGATATATATGGCCTCATGTGCCAGATGATGTAAAGAAGCACATGGTTTAGAAATTGTAGCTTTGTGCTGTATTTACACAGCCAACTTCCTAACCTGTTCACCTTACAGTAATAACTAGCCAATTTAAACAAGTTAATTGCTCGCCTTAGACTTACATCTCTCTTCCTCTCTTATGCTTTCTACAATTCCAATTGAATTGTTATAAATAACATCACCGCTCATAACGTTGGAGAACACTGAAGGAAAATGCGACATAAATCCTCCCCTTCTGCCCTCCCCCAAAAGCATGTTCAGCTCCCTCCTCCCATTTTAAATGCATGTCGCATTTTATTCTTTTTTTTTTTTTTCTTCTTCTTCCGTTGAAGGTTTGTTCCTCTTTCCAGATGGGTCCAACTCAGGCTTACAACAACCAGTTTATGAACCAGCCTGGTCCTCGTGGCCCTGCTTCTATGCCAGGCAACATGAACCCAGCAAGCATGGGAGCGGGAATGACCCCTTCCAGCATGAGTGGGCCACCCATGGGCATGAACCAGCCTCGGCCTCCTGGGATGAGTCCCTTCAGCACCCATGGGCAGAGGATGCCTCAGCAAGCCTACCCAGGCCCACGCCCCCAGTCTTTGCCTATACAGGGCATAAAGAGACCGTATCCAGGAGAGGTAATAAGATGAATTATATTTTGCTTACACTGTTTTACTGTGTTGCAACACACTGGGCAGTGTGTGGTGCACATCCCTTTAAGATAGGCACATCATTGTTCCAGCCTTGGTAGGAATGCTGCTGTTAAAATACGAGCGGAAGCAGCTCTTTCTTTTCATCTAAAGTATTTGGGTTGGCCCTTGCTATGTTAGTCAAGATGACAATCATTAAAACCAAGCGAGGCCCAAAATCAGCTGAGCCCTCAAAATGTCACTTTAAGATTCTCATGCTAGATGGTGAATTCACAGACTGTAAGCAGACTTCCTTCACAGGAGTGGATTTATTTAATGTGACAACTTAAAAGAGATGTTGAAGGTGAAATTCTTCATTTGAGCCCACTACATATGTGATCTGCATTTTCTTGGGTGGTTTTATTATTCTAAAGAAATACAGGGTGGACATTGTATAAACACCAATAGTAATAACATTTATTTTAAAGACCAGTTGCTTTCCAAACTTCTTGAGGCATATTTTTCATAGGCACTGAGATGAATATAAATCATGTTGAACTCAAATCCTTCTGTGTCGGCATTTATCTAATGTAAGTTTATTTGGAGTGTGGTATTTTAAGTTCCCATGCTGTTATACGAGATCTGAGTGGCTTTGTAGACAAAATTACATTGCCATTGACTTAAGGCAAAACACTTAGAGTCAAAATTTTAGAGAAATTTAGACAACCGAAGATGTAGACAGACAAGCTTTTGAATTTTAAAAAGTCCCAATGTATTTTACTATTGAAATTGGTGTGAATCAGGCAGTAGGTGCTTTCGAAAATCCCACTAACTCTCAGCTTTAAATGCACCTAAACGTCTGTACAAGTCTAGCCACCAGCTACTAGCTTCAGAGATAATTTCCTGGTGAAATTCTGTATTAAACTGAGACTAAAACAACAGCTGTAACTTCAGGTGTAGAGCTTTGAATATTATGACATTGCCCTGACTATAATAATGGCAGTAAGAGTTTATTGAAAACATACAGCAAGGAGTACCACAGCATGCAGAAAATATAGCAAACATTTATTACTGGGTTACATTTATTTCCTGATCTGCAAATGAATTTTTTTTTAATTAATTTTAAAAAAAGTATTCAGAAATTAAAAAAAAAGTGATGTGCTTTATTTAGCAGGAGTTGCTTCTCTAGGATGTCTTGTCATACTGCCATTTACTCTACAATTAAGAAAACACAGAATGTGGCTTATTCAGATAATTATTACCTTCAGATTTCTTTTTGCTGCTTCAGAAGCAGGTTTTTCCTTGTAAGTGAATATGACCATATTCCCAAGAAGTCCAGACCAGCAAGCATGTTCCCTAAATGTTACATGCTTGCTGGTCTGGAATTCTGCAGGTCTTATAGATGCTATTTGCTATTTGGCTTTCGAAAGCTTCATTAATGGAAATTGCCTATTAATCAGTTAATTTTTCAAATTGACAGTGTATTACCTGTCAAGTTCCAGTTTTCATAACTTGGATTCCGAAACTATAGCACAGTACTAGTTAACACTAGCAAGGTGTTTATGACGAGTGATAGCATTTCGTTAATTGTTAAGGTATTGCTGTATGCTGTAGCACAAGGCCAGGATAGCAGTTGTGTTGAGCAGAGAGACGTGGAAACACAGGTTCTTTGTCCCCTCCAGGATATTTTTTTTTTTTTATGGTACTTTCTGTGCTTCCATTCTCCATCTGGAAACAGATCCCCAGGGTTGGGGTTGATAGCACTTGCAACAGCACAGAGATTTTGTGAACACTGCATCTGGCTGTAATTCTGGTTTCTTCAAACGCAGTGCCCTTTGACAGTGTTGCAAGGCTAAGTGTACATTTGTGTTAAGATACATGGTTATTCTTATGCCACTTTGGGGGACTTTTATGCTTTAGCGTGAGTATTCCCTTCCAGCCATCAAGGACCTGGTTTAGTCATGAGTGGCACTAAGTTGAGGAGTATTCACCCAGAAGGGTTTTTGTTTGTTTTGATTCTGCTGTTGAATGTGTGTTAATAATCAATTTAAGACAGCTGCCTGCATGAAACAGATCTTTGTCTTCTTTCATCTCTGTCATGAAATAGCCGAATTATGGAAACCAGCAGTATGGACCAAATAGCCAGTTTCCAAACCAGCCTGGTCAGTACCCTACTCCCAACCCTCCAAGACCCCTTACATCTCCCAACTATCCCGGACAGAGGATGCCAAGCCAGCAAAACACAGGGCAGTACCCTCCTCCAACAGTCAACATGGGGCAGTATTACAAGGTAAGAGTTTTCACATTATCTTGTTGCATTCCTCTAGACATTTGTGAATGAAATCACATGAATTAATACATAGCTACTGCTTTTATGTAATTTAAGGAAAGGGAGAAAAAAGCAGTGTTTTTACTAATTGTTGGCTAACACAGGATCAAGTCAATCAGCCAAGTTGCACTGTAACTTCAGAGCAGTTCGTAAAGAAAATGGAATGGTGCTGGAGCTCATTAGAGGCTTTTACAAGAAAATGTTGGTTTTGCTTTAAAAATAGCATGTAAAAAAAAAGTACCTAATGGGATTCAGGTGTAATATTTTCACCTATTCATGGCACCCTGCAAGAATATAACTTTGGAAATTTGTAATAAACAAGGTCAGTGTTGCAGCATCCCATTTTCAGACCTGAGTGGTCACTGTTGGATTAAGCTAGTTGAAACTTAAAAGCTCTTCCAGCTGTAGAATTGATCTTTCAACTGAAGTTTGCGTGACTTTCTCCAACCTTTCCTCCACTTTTCTCCTTCTTTTCTCTCTGTGCTGCTTGTTTTGGGCAAGAATTAATATTGTTAAAATTTTGCCTAGAGCTTGTTTTATGGATATATTTTGAGCACTTCATATTCTCCAAACTGAGTTTGTACTGAGGGCCTGCTGAGGTTTAATGTCTTTGAAGTGCACACAAAAGGGATCTTTTGCACACAGGGTACTCCAGTAAGTATAAAAATGGGGAGGACCATTGGTGGTCTGACCTGCTCTTAAAGCATTAGCTTTTGAAGTCTCTGAACTACTTACTGATCTCTGATGTGGGCTAAAGAATCTAAGTTGCACATGGATGTTGAATTGGAAGTGTTCCAGTGTCATTCACACAAAAAACACCATTGCAAAAACAAAAGGGGAGACAACACCTTTTAGTATAGAGTATCCATTCTACCAAGCTGTCCACTGTGGTGCCCAAAGGAATGCCTCTTGCATCATGGCAGCTTTTGCAGTACACTGCCAGGAGGAACATGAGGAGGAGACAGATCCTCAACTGCTGTAATTCCAGTGCAGTCACTTGTGCTAAAATAACAGCAGATGATCTCTGTCAAGTTTTTAAGTGACAGATTTTTTAATACATTTTGCATGTGTGTATTTGAGATGGAGTGTAAGTTTTTTGCTTACAGGATAACTCTAACAGGGAATCTGTGGTCTTTCCAATGCATCCCCTATTTTGTATCAAATAATGGCTGTTCTGGAAACAGAAAATAAGACACCTTGTTAGGAAGGGAGTTCATCTGGCTAGTGGAAAAAATTCAGCTTGCCACAGACAGGACCTGAGCCTTTGGATTATAGTGATTGTGAAGATAGTAACTCTGTGTGTTAAAGAAAAAAGCAAAGATTGGTTGGAAATGTAAACACTCAAGATTTCAGAATGCAGCTCTCCTCTTAGGTGCTTTAGAGTATCCTACTCTGTGAAGTATTTAGATTGTACAGAATCAGATTTGAAGTCCTGATATTTTGGCTGTCTGTAATAATTTTCATCTTCCGACATTCCCATGAATATGTGCTTATGCTACATGAGCTATTACAAGAGAGTGACTTGCAATAGCAGTTTTGGTTAATGCCAGCTTCCTTCATTATTGGTTTATTCTGTTAACTACAGCCGTCCCCTTAATTACAAGAAACAAAACCAATGGTGTTTTAATACTGTAGCTGCTATTTATACCTAACCTTCCTTTTTCTTTTAATTTGTCTTATTCAGCATCAAGCTAAGAAAAAAATCTAATTGTAGGTACACAGAATAAAAGACATCCCCTGACCCTCAGAGTTTTCATTCTGAGTAGATGAGTTGGACAGGGGTGGAAGAAAGGATAGACAGAAGTAAAAGGGACAGAGACATTCTAATTGCATGTCTTTGGCATTTGTTTTTCATGTAGGCTTTTGTGCGGTGGGGCTATTTTGGGAGGAAGCCAAAGTGATACAAAAGGGCTGGGTGGGTTGGGGTGGTGTGGAAAAACTAAAGTGAATTGCTGGTTGTTTTTGGAAAGAGAGTGTTCAGAGGAACGCAGTAAGCCTTTTGGCAGCCATGCTTGCATCTGGTCATTGCCTGAGTTAAGCTGGCTTGTCTGGTTTCAGTTCCTGCTTTGCTCTCCTAGTCTGCCTCTTCCCTGAAGGCCTCATGGGACCTCCTGTGGTTTCTTCCCCTTCCAGTGACAGAGGGGCCTCCCTACCTTGTTTGTACCATTTGGTGTTTGATAGCAGTGCAGTTCACAAGGCTTACTATTCTTATTTTCAGGCTGCAATAACAATGTGGTGTTATTTATTTTCTAGCCATCAAGGCCTGTACCTGTGGCAAATTACCCTCATTCACCTGTTCCAGGAAATCCCACGCCACCTATGACTCCAGGGAGCAATATTCCTCCATACCTGTCACCTAACCAGGATGTCAAACCACCATTCCCACCTGACATTAAACCAAATATCAATGCTTTACCACCACCTCCAAGTGAGTAGCAAACAGAATGCCGCCACAGTCATTTATTGTCCCTCTGTCTTCTGCCACATATATTTCAGAGTCTGAAAACTAGCTCTGATTGCTGCTCTGGGAGAGACTTGGATCGTGAAGTTGTGATAGGTGACATGCACCGTGCAAGGTCACTAGAAACAGTGGACAGGAAAGAAAAAGATTGCTATCCCCTCTTAAAGTAGAGTATCAGAAATGTTCTTCCAGGTTAAACTTGTAAGAATTTTACTTCTGAAGTATTCCTTTGATACACGTCCTGAGGATAAAACACTTGATTTTGTGTTGCATTATGTGTGCTTGGTAGGCTTGTTTACTGTATGGACTTTCACTGTGGTCTGTTTCATTCAAGGGCAAAGCCATTCATTGAACATCACTGCAGAATAGTGTAAAATGTGAATATTTATAGCGGTGTCTCTATTGTGATCCATATAGGCTTCTTAAGAATAGTCAGTAGTATGCCAAAAATTGATGTATGTTCCTTTCAAAGCCACTTAACGTCACAGCTACATTTGGCTGGGAACAGGGCAGGAATAACAGAATCTCTCTGACTGTATACTATCATAAGATGTCTGAGGTTTTGAAGTGACTGGTGGACAATAGGAGAAACCATTTACTAAGGAGATGGGAGAACCTTTATGTTCTCTGTAAAATAACTGCTGCTGCATTAGCACTTTGCAGCCGGTCTTTGATTCAGGATAGGTGAGAAATGAAGTAGAAGAAGGTGGCCTGCAGTATTATTTGGGCAAGAAAACAACATTTAAAGACATTCATACTTCATAGATCAGCTGTAAGTTTACCACAGACTGTCATGTTGTGAGATCAGATAGTAATTAAAAACAAGTGTCTGTGGACATTGGATAGGTTCAGCTGATGAAATTGTTGGAACTAATTGGGTAATGCTGATTGCAGGGAAAATAAGCATTATCACAGTTTGCCATAATTAAGAGATCTGTTGTCAGTCGTCTGCCAACAGAGTAGCCTGGAAAAAAAAACCTGTCCAGTAACAAAAACTAGGAATTCTTGCCATGCTTGGTTTCTGTTTATGGTCAGGATGCTAAGGTCCTAATGTTAAGTGTGGGAGGATAGAAGACTTTGTTTTGCTGTCACAATCAGTTTGAGCTCTGTCACTCGTATCAGTTAGTTACTTGTGATTTTCTTTTAAGTGTGTATGAACCTGTTAAGTTAGACCCAGTAGCAGATCACTGTGCCATTTGTTACTATTCTGTATAAATATACACATTATTATTGCACTGCAGATGCTAAAGGGAAAGTTCACGCTTTCTCTCCCTCTTCGATCCCAGCCAACCACAATGATGAGCTGCGTCTGACATTTCCTGTGAGAGATGGTGTTGTACTGGAGCCCTTCCGGCTGGAACACAACCTGGCAGTCAGTAACCATGTCTTTCACCTGCGGCCAACTGTTCATCAGACACTGATGTGGAGGTAAGCTCGGTCTTGCAAACAGTGATGGAGGCCACATGAACTCCATTTAGGTTTGCCACTTACAGATAACTCTCACCTCTCACTTTTCAGAAGCAACATGTTCTAAAATGCTTCCTGATCTGTGTGGCATCTCTTTGCTGATAGCACATGGCACACAGTGTCTGAAAAATCACTGCAACTGTTCCATCTTTTCTACTGTAGGTGGAACAGGTGTGGGATGTGCATGACCAACACCACTACAAACTTCCGTTTGGGAGGCTCTGAAGTTCTAGGTGCTTTGTGAAGTGCTAGTTGCAGGAGTAACTGTGCAGGAGTGTTACATAAATGGTGCAGAGTATCTGATAATGAAAAACAGCACAGTAACGAAGAGCCTGATTTAGAGACTTTGTAAAGCCATTTGGAAAGACAACTACTTAAATCTTCCAGACTTTAGAAACTTCCTAAATTCTGCTCTCTCCTATGACTCCACAAATAAGGACAGGTCAGAAATACTGGCACATGGCTTTCCACATACAAAACCTTCTGGATTTCACTTACAGCAAGTACTACCTTCCAGCACAGAGGAATAGGTTTTCTAGGTGGTACTTTCCTCCATTTAATGTAGATCTGTGTAAGTGATTCCAGGTTATGACCCCATTTCACCATTTTCCTGGAAGGACTTTAGATCAGATGATAGTCAGAGCCTTAATCTTTTTTATTTGTATTCTTTCAAATACCACAGAATAATTTTGTCTTCTTCTGTTTTTCTCAGAAGGTATCTCAGTGTTATCCTGGCTGCTGATCACATTGTTTGAACCTGTCTCTGTGCACTGTGAAGGCTGGTTAATTGCTCAGGATCTTGTATGGAGGTTGTTTCACAGGTGTAACAGCTGAGAGTGTAAAATGCAGTATCTTTCTGTCAGCACATTTTCCGTTACTCCTGTCTTGCTTTCAGTTTCTTCCCATGCCTGGACCATATACCCTCTGACCTTAATGGGAGTGATAACTTGTACCTTCAGCTTTTTTCCCTGTGGGGATCTTCTTCCTGTTCACTGGAATCCACTTGAGACTTCTATTTTCATGTTGTGGGGGGTGTGAGTTGGGCAGAGAGGTGCACTGAGTTCTCTGCTCCACGCATGGACTCTGGCTCTAAAACTGAGGCTTGATGTGGGATGCACGAGTCCTTGCTGCCACGTTGCCCCCTTACCCTGAGGTAACCTGGGCGTTGGGAGGGAGAGGGATTGCAGGCAGACCACATCCAATAATTAACACCTAACTTTGAGGTCAGTTACTGCTTACTTGCATTTCATTATCATGGACTACTCGCAGCAGAGGGAGTTTTGGCAGTTATTTGCCAGTTCTTATTAATAAGTAATCACTACTGGGGATTGTGTTGGCTCATTCAGTAGATTTATAGTGCTGCACTGAGGCATGAGGCTGTTTCTTAATATCTATTCTTCCTTAGCTCACCAAACACATAGCCTTTATTTAAACTTATTTTAATGAAGACTCATAGGTAAACTGTGCTCAGGTCTGCTGTTTTGAAAAGCTTGTTAATAGTGGGGAGGACGGACAGTCCTGTAATGAAGTCATTTCACATTTAAGTCAGGGCTGGATGGGCTCCAGAAAAACGAATTAGTCACATGTGTGAATGGATTTCAGTTTTATAGAGAATGGTGGAATCCAGCCAATTTTGAATATTTGTCTGCCACTTAAAATATTCAGCAAAACCTCTCACGTGTACACACATAATGAATAGCAATGCAGTCAGTTTTCTCCCCTCTGGGAACTTTTCATGGTTACGAAAAACAGAAAGGTTGAAGGCAGGGGAAATGTCTTCTTGAAGCTGGTTCAGTCTTAGCACTGCTCAGTTATTAATAGCGTCCCACAGTGGAGACACTGTGTGCTGAGAACATGAGGGTCTCCTGCACTCTGTCACCGCTCTGTGACATTCAGCAGGCCTGCTCAGAATCCTTGGGAGCACACTTAGTCTGCTTGGTTTTTCTGTCAGAGGTACCAAGCCTTGCTTCCCTCCAGGTTTGGGTGACTGCAATGTGTTCTCACAAGGTGAGAATCTCCAGTGGATCTTGCAGAGAGAGCTTTCAAAAATTGGTAATAAGATACTAAAAAAAGCTGGAAAGACTTTATATAGCTGGGTGATGTTGAAAGGTCAGCTGGTCTGTGTTCTGTACTTTTCTGTTCGTTAAAAAATGCTTTTATCCAGAGCTAAATCTTGATGATTTGAAATCCAGAAAAGGCAATGTTAACTCGGAATCGAATCTCTGATTTTGGAAAATGGCAGTTAAGGTGGTGATGTCCTCATAAAGCTGTTCACTGATCTTACAAAGATATTTTCCTTCATGCAAGGTGAAGAAACGAGCACCTAGATTTTCGAGTAGAAAAGATAAACATTCAGCTGTCATAAACAGCAGAATCCTGACATATGAGTTCAGTTTTTCATGTTCTTTTAAATTTCTTCTTAAAATTACTCATTCCTAACACAAGGTTAACATCCATGTATGAAACTGAAGTCATAGTCTTACCCACTGAATTTGTGATCAACTTAATCTCAGCCTCTTCCATTTTTGGAGGTGTTCTAAAACTCATTTTTGAGGAGCTAAGTAGTGTGGAGAAGTTATTATTGGAGAGGTGGGAGGAATTCATGCTCTGAAAAAAGGTCTAAATTGGGTAGATTTAATCCACAGATGTGGTAATTTGGAACCACAGAAACGCAGGGGGTGAGATACAGGGGTCATTTTAGTTGATTTACCTGTTCCAAGGCAGGATTAGCTGTGCTGGTGTTTTGTCTGACAAGTGCTCATTCCAGTGCTCTTTTAAATGCTCTGAAGTAGTGAAGAATCCACGGTCTTTGAGCAGAACCCACAGCAGCATGTCACTCTCTTGTTCTTGATTTTTAACACACAGGAAGGACCTACTGAATGTTACCATTTTTCTTTCTGCGGGATCACTCCATGGTCTAGTTTTGCAAAGTGGTTTGAGATGTTCCCTTGGAAAGTCCTTTATAAGTGTAAAGTATTAACAGCAAGTTTGTGGTGTGCTTGCATCACTAATTCGTCATGACTTGCTTCTATTAAGGGCTTTTATGAAGTATGTTACATCCTTTACTGGCAGTAAGCTAGAAAAATAATCTGATTGATGAAGAAAAACGTTTCCTGGCATCAAAATGACCTTCCTCTGCAATGTGAACACAAAATTAAGGAAGATTTATTGGTTGTTGTACAGGTCTGACTTGGAATTACAGTTCAAGTGCTATCACCATGAAGACAGACAAATGAACACAAACTGGCCAGCTTCAGTCCAGGTCAGCGTTAATGCAACCCCACTTACCATTGAACGTGGTGACAACAAGACATCTCATAAACCTCTGCACCTAAAGCACGTCTGCCAGCCAGGAAGAAACACGATTCAAATTACAGTCACAGCATGTTGTTGTGTAAGTACTCTGAGCTCATGGCTGCAGCTGCTGATGCTGAGTTTGCTATTTAGTATGGTTTGCAAATGTTGCCTTAGCTGAAAGAGCCTTACTCTCTTTTTTGTTCATGCATTTTACTGGTAAGGTGCTTGTTTGATGATGTTGACACAGAGAGCTAATGTGGAAATTTTTGCTGCTGAATTATTGCAGAATGTAGTGGTGTCCTCATGTCTCTGAAAAGGCTTGTGGTCTAGGGGAGGAAAGGTGTTTGATCTCTTACCTATTTAGCATGTGCCTGTGTAACAAGGCAGTTAAAGTGTATTAATGTAGAAGTAGGTGATTGTGATGCAAACTATTGTCTAGTACTAATTTCATTTACTTAGGGTGTTAAACTGTGTGTGGTTTGACATGACAACATCAGCAGCATTAATCACTGGTGGTGGTGATGATTTTTCAAATAGCTTTTCAGATGAAAACGTCATATTCCATGATGCAGTCTAGACCATGCAGCTTTCCCCTTTCTTCTTTCCCATAGTTCCACTCTTCGTGATGAGAACTGTATTTTCAATGCAGACTGTTGCAGGCATACAGTCTGAGCTTTTGACTGTTCTGTTGCCACTGACAATAAAGCAAGCTGCTACCTCTCCCAAGATTGCAGTGTAAGGCACTTTGAGAAGAAGCCATCCACCTGTTTTGCTTTACTTCACACTGATGTTTCTCTGCCTAATGTCATTTATTTGATGGCTAAGAGCAGACGCAGCATCCTGTGAATCAACAATGAGATCTGTGTTGGGGAAGGAGATTCAGCTGGTTCCAGAAACATCAGTAGCAAGTCGTTTTTTGCAACTTCGAACATAGTCAAGGGCAGGCAGGGAGGCTAGACTGTGTCAAAGAATTCAGGTTTTTAGAAATAACCCCTGATGTCAGAGATGAATATGTCAGCACTATGTATTCTGAATATTAAGGAGGGAGAAAATGCAGAAAATCTTCGCTTTTTTAAAGCCCTTGTATATGTTATGCTCCTGGAGCATAGAACAACATACTGTGCAGCGTGCAGAATATCCCTGAGGGAGCCCGTATGCGCATGGAGCAGAACCAGCTTTCATATTTAAGCATCAGGCTCTTAGGGAAGCCATGTATTCAAGGGAAGAATGCAGCTCTGTTCAGCAGTGTATTTACCATGTGTGTTTGGTTCTCTTGGTAACAAAATGCATTTTCTTTCAGTCACACTTGTTCGTGTTGCAGTTAGTACACCGGCCATCAGTTCGCTCTGTACTTCAAGGTCTACTAAAGAAACGCCTGCTCCCAGCAGAACATTGTATCACTAAAAGTGAGTTTCCATTTTGTGTGGGTGATGACTTTCCAGGATGCCTATGTTCAGTTGTGATAAGCTATTTCTGCTCAAGATTTGCTTGCTTTTTGAAAACCTTAAGCTGTACTTGTCAGGAATTTCCAGAACATCATGTGCGTGGATTAAATCCTCGATATCCTCGAATGTTGAGGGCTATTTGAGTGGGGGTAACAAAGTACCAAGGACACAAGCTTTGTTCCTAATGAGGACTCTCCCGTTCCAGGAGAGTCTCTCCGGCTTTCCCCCATATTTGTTTTTGACTTACCTAAAAGGCCCAGGTAGAAAGATTATTCTTTAAGGCTACTTTGAGTGCTTATGCGGCACTTAATTTGGCTGAGAGTATAGCTGATATGCATGTGTGTGATGGTTTGTCTCTTCAGGAGAATATCCTGAATTACACAGAATACACCTGTGTGGATAAATTGTCCACTAAATTGGCCCTTAACAGTTCAAGTGTTGGTCTTTCATATTTCTGTGTTAGAATTTACAGTACACTTGTGTTCTGTCACACATACACATACCTTTCTTCCTAAACAGTAAAGAGGAACTTCAGTAGCGTAGCAGCATCCTCTGGCAACGCGACACTAAATGGAGAAGATGGAGTAGAGCAAACTGCTATTAAAGTGTCTCTGAAGTGTCCGATCACATTCCGGCGGATTCAGCTCCCAGCAAGGGGTCACGATTGCAAGCATGTGCAAGTAGGTAGATGCCAGTGGCCTGGCAGTATTCCCTCAGCCATGTGTTGTTACAGTACCTTTAGCCTAGTTATTGTAAGATACCACCTAATGAAATGTGATTACTTTGTGTATATCAACCTAAATAATTATATATATTTAATGTAGAGGGAGAAAGTAAGCTATTTGGTTTAGTTTTCCGTGCTCGTAGGCTTTTTTTCATGGTAGTTTTACTTTTGACCCAACTGTTTCAGTTAATACAGTGTTTTCCTTTGATTTCTCTTTTTTCTTTTTTTCTTCTTTCTTTCTGATACCTAGTGCTTTGATCTGGAATCTTACTTGCAACTGAACTGTGAAAGAGGAACTTGGAGGTGTCCAGTATGCAAGTAAGTGCAACCATACTACGTGAAATACAGTTGTAGACCATTTGACCAAATTCAGATCATATTTAAAGTCATGGAGGGAGAAAAAGGAAGTGCTAGTAAGTAAGGTGTATATATTACATTTATCTAATAGTATAAAATCTAATGAGAATTCTTGCAATACTTCATTAACTGGAGGACCCTCTAGATTGTTAGAAATATAAAACCATCTCTGCAAGTCTCCAGTTCAGTCCCATCTGTGCCAGCTGATGTTAGGTGGGCATTGCAGGCTTGTTTCAGTGACTGTCCATGGTTGATGTGTACCCTAAAGTGCAGCTATTTTCTCTGGACTACCTGCATCTTTTCTAAGTTTGGCTAAAAATGCCAGAAGAATTGAATATCTTACTTCTTAATTTATGTATTCCTACAGCCAGGCCAAAATTTTTGTCCTATTTCTCTGACTATGAGCACCTGCATTCAGATCTAAGTGCCTATGTAACTAAATAATTTCTTGTTTTGTTTTGTCTGTCCCCATCTGTGCTGGTCTTAAGTAAAATAGCTATAATACGTAGTTATTTTGAAGCCACATTACTGTGCAGCTCAAAAAAAAAAATAGTCCAGTTTAAAAAGAGAATAGTGCTAGCTGATGTTCACAGGAGAGATCTGCTGTGTTTGCAAAGCCTTTTAATTCACAATGTATTTCAGTAAAAAAAAGGATGTGAGCAGCTTCTGTGGACACGCACAAGTAGATGTATTCTTATCTCATCTGTTTGATATAAAATACCGTTGTGGTGGTAATGCAGATGTAGGACTAAAACTGTTTGCCCCAAATAATTCCTAAATCATATGTTACAGAGTTTGGTGGATCTCAATATTCTGATTTCATCACTAGCCTATCATTCTTCCATTCCTCTTTCACACATGTGTAGCAATATTGTAACATGAGGTTTGGGGTTTTTTTCCTTTCTAGTAAAACTGCTCTGCTGGAGGGCTTGGAGGTTGACCAGTATATGTGGGGTATTCTGAACGCTATACAAAAGTAAGTGAACTTACTCATTTCAGATATCCAAGACAAAGCAAGTAGGAGATATGTCAATGAGTACTGATAGTCACACCAAAGTAGCTCTTAGTGATTGAACTTGAATATTCTATTTCGTGGGTCCTTGCTGGAGCTGGTGATACAGTGAATCAGTTTCCATCTGCTTAATAGATCTTGTTTGGGTTATCTCCTGATGGCAGCCTCACTGATGAAGTGGAGGGAAGAGTGAGACTGAAGAATTAAATGTTTTCTCATATTTACAAGTAGTCCCAATTCACATTGGCAGACCACATAATACGTTTGGGTTTCGTTGTGTGGATAAACACATAAATGTGCTCCCACGGTTGCTCTTTTTAAAACTTTCTTTTGGCGCACATTTGAGGAGTGAAAGATCTTGAGGTTGTATTATACTAGATCATTTCAGAACATTTGTTACCATGCAGATTCTTATGGAAACTCTAGCAGTATTGACTAAATAATAATAATAATCAATTCATGTGCTAAAATGTTCACATTATTTTACAGCTCAGAGTTTGAAGAAGTTACCATTGATCCAACTTGCAGTTGGAGGCCGGTCCCTATAAAGTCAGATATTCACATCAAAGATGACCCAGATGGCATTCCCTCAAAAAGATTTAAGACCATGAGTCCAAGCCAGATGATCATGCCAAATGTAATGGAGATGATTGCAGCTTTGGGTCCTGGCCCATCACCTTACCCATCCCTACCCCCTCCTCCAGGAGGCAACAACTCCACTGAATATGGTAACCAAGGTTAGTTTTTCACCTTTGTGCACACAGGTGGTCACTCTAGAAGCCGGTGGTTCAGTCAGCTTTGTGATTCGGATATGTCAGTGCATCTTGTCAGAGAGGTGCATGAGGAAAGGAAATTATATAGCTGCAGTTCTGAAATTCTGTATCAGTCTCTTCATTTAAGATTCATCTGTTTATAGGGAAACATATTTTAGTAAGGAAATTGGTGCTTGTCATATTTATTGCCATGCAGCCCTCCCTGAATCAACAAACATTGTATGTTACCTTATATATTCATGGCCTGCCACAATATACATATTTCCTAATTTTTTCTGTCCATTTTCCTGCTGTTGCACTCTCATTCAAGTGAAGGCTCACAGTGCTACAGGAGTTACAAAGTAGACTCTGCTGTCTGGGACACCCAGTTTAACTTGTGGCTAGGTGGGTGACATTTGGTAGGCTACCCAGAAAGTGGATAACTTCTAAAGAGCTTTTAACGGCTTTGCAAACACCTTTGCATTAGAAAATTACTTTTGAGTTCCTCTACCCATGTGCTGCCAGATTGAGAAACAGGGAATTAAATACAGGCAGCAGAGATACATTTTCAAATGACTGGTATGTTGTGAATAACTCAATTATAGTGACAATTCTGAAAATATGAAACTAGAGACTGGGTTTTTGTTTTTTGCAAGTAATATGATATGACTCAGTTCAGCTCTGGAAAAAGACCAAACTGTTCACACCATCAGAATCCCCAAATTGATTACAAGGTGATATATGTGGTTTTTGCAGGCATTTGAAGAAAAACACAGGTTGCATGCAAAATATAGTTAATTTGCTCCAATGACTGCAAAACTGATGACAGATGATAAAACTTTTCAGGTTTTCAAACTAATGAATGATTACTATATCAAAGCCAAGAGCACTGAATCCCAAATATTTCACTCAATCAGCAGTAGTGAAGTGCAGTCAGAGCATGAGAACAAAGCCATCTATTCGTGATCTTCTACTTCATAATCAGGAATGGACAGGGCAGTTATGTAAAGTGGGGTTTAGGGTTTGTGTAACGGTTGCTGCCTAGACTGGTATTTTCCTGCCTTCCCCTGTGGATCCTGTAGCAGAGGTAGTCCTTGTTTCTTGGAGCCCTGACTCATCAGTGGCAGGTGAAACCCACGCTTCTCTACTTCCCCTGCAATAGGCATATCAATGCAGAGCACCACATTATCCTAAATGTCTTCATAGGTCTGTCCCTCAGCATGTGGCACAACTCTGGCTGCAGAGAAGGGGATGCTACTGCATGGCTGTAACTGCCTGGGCATACTGCCTTGCATCTGCATTCTCCGTCAATATGTGCACTGAAATTTAGTGTTTAGAATTAGATAATGTCCTTGGATTAACAGTACTCTAGGCAAAGTAGTAGTAGTATAACTGCTGTGGTTTACGTTTGTTTGTTTGGGTTTGACAGTAAGCATACTCAAGTTTAATTTCCTAATATAACAAGTACTCAGTAATATAAGACCTTATTCCAGCTCCCTACTATTAAATCATTCCTGAGACGCGAGGCAATACCAGCTGTGTTCTGTGAGACTCATCCAGTTTGCAGATTAACAAAATGAGAATTAGTAAAGCTCTGCAGTATTTACATGATAGATCAAAGTCCTGACTTCTTTGAGAAATACTCTTACACAGCTAATGACTTCTATTCCTCTGAGATTAAACTTCAGCTTGTGAAGCTGTGCTAAAGAGCAAATGATGCAGCTTCTTCAGTTTGTCATACTCCCTTCTTGACTTAAAGCTGCTGTACTTCAACTGACAAACCACAGACTCTCCATGCAGGCTCCAGAGTTATTCTGTTATTTCAGAGCTCAGTACCATCCAATTCAGTTGCTTATATGAAATAGCTGAGTGGTTCAGTTTTTGCTCTTCATAGCAAATAAGCCACCAGAGTTGGTATCTCAGTTGGAAATGTTAATACAGGGATCTGGACAGAAAAAATAGGAGAGTAAAATTTCTGTACTGGGATGTGTGCCAGCTTTAGAATTCAAGTGAAGATCACTGGACTGAGGTGGGATGGATCAAAACATACCATTGATGCTCATATGATATTTGTTCTGAAGATCCACAAGGGACTCCAGGCTTGTTGCTAGGTGGTAGATGTCTGAGGGTAAATCCAGATCATTTATTACCAGTTGGTGTGAAATTTTGGTGCTTTGGAGAACATTGTTTCAGGGTGAAGATAGGTGAATTTCATAGTCACTAGTTTTTCATTACGAGTGTGCATATCCACATGCTGAAACACAGGCTACAGGCAGCCAGTTTGTAACTCTGAAAACAAGACAAACAGATCCAAGAGTGGAAAACTGAAGTTGTATTTGCAGACAGTCAAGTGAATTTTACTAGGTTTTGTGGGAAGCAAAGAGAATGACATCACAAATCCCAGCCGGACATGAAGGCCTCTTCTGCACTGTCTGAATGGAGGTTGCCTGTTTATACCACAGTAGAGGTAAAACAGATGAACTGGTACTGTAGCATCTTCCTGATACAGTTCTGTCAATTAGCTTCATCAAAAACTGAAGTAATGCTACAATCTTACTGAGTGTATAGAAGCATAGATTAACACAGGTGTCCTATAACTGATTTTTGACTTGGGCAGTCAGTTTCAGTTACACCAGGATGCTTCCAGATGCAAATATTCCATAGAATTTAATATCCCTTTCACTTCTTTACATGGTTAAGTTTATGTGGTGCCTTGACAGTAATTTATCAAAATGTCTTCAGTTTTCAATTAGTTACAACATGTACATGAAAGCTGAGTACTGTTTTTCCTTCCCTATTCCTCCAGCTCGCTCCAGCAGTGGGGAGCATAGTGTTGTCACATGCAGTGTTGCAGTTGCCTTGTGCTGAGCTGTGCAGGCAGGATGCCATGCTGTACAACTCTTACAAAATACTATGAGAGATCAATGTTGGGAAACAAATAGTTTCTTTCATATCACATCTGTTTCTCTTTTAGGCAACAGTTACCAAGGTCATGGCAATTTTGACTTCCCGCACGGGAATCCCGGTGGCACGTCTATGAATGACTTCATGCATGGGCCACAGCTGTCACATCCCCCAGACATGCCAAGCAGCATGGCAGCTCTCGACAAACCTCTCAGTCACCCCATGCAGGAATCTGTAAGTAATGGTGCTGTGCACGTAGGTTTTCCTTTGTGGGGGTAAGGAGCTCTCATCCAGCTAACAGACTTGGCTCCTGAACCACTTTTACTTTTTGTGGATTCCTCACTTTGGAATTTTGTGAAATAGCGTAGTCCTGAGAAATGCAAAAAATGCTGGGTTTAGTTTCTGGCCTTTTTGAGGTTTTGGAGAAGCCTTTCTGAGCTTTTTGAATTGTCATTTAAGCTTGTTTATCTGAAAGAGACAACCTGGCTCAGTGTGCTTGTGTTAATCATTGTGCTTTGCTCTAACACCTGAAAAAAACTAGACTTCATTCCCTAGGCCAGCAGGGTCTGTGACTATCCATCTTCAGAAGACAGCTTGTTAGAGTAAGGCATTGACTGACTTCAAAGCAGGGACAATATCTTCCCTGGCTTTGTCCCTGAGGGCAAAATTTACATCAAAGCATTTCAAGGGGGAGTTCTACCCAAGTAGCATGAAAGGCACCTTGAAGCTGTTGGGAATAGGTGGAGCATTTAGATTTCAAGGAGAGATGCTGCCACTGGTGTGAGAATGCATCAAGGTGAGAGACTAAAAAATGGAGGTTCCTCGGGTCTCAGGAGGAGAGGCAGAACAGTGCCTTGGAAAAGCAGCTTGTTCAGAGTACTGAGTTTTATATACAGACCTTTACAGATCTCCTGAAAATGGAGTACTGCAGCAGCTAGGTGATAGAAAAAGCTACCAGAAGTACTTAGCTCTTAGGCATGGCTAGTCATCTGTTTTTTTGTGGGGTGGGGTGTGTGTACACATCCTTTTATGTTCATTTAAGTTACAGGGCAGGGACTTCATAGTGTGCTGTTGCTGCACAGGAAGGATGTTTAACTTGGTAAGTCATCTGTGCCATGTCTTTAATGAATACTAGAAAGTACAATTTCAGAATGTAGTGAGGCAATGTGGTAGCAGATGCTCAGCAAAAGCCTACTCAGTCAATGTCTCCTCTAGCTGGCAGTGGGTTTCCCAAGGAGGATGGTGAGAAATAGGAAGAAAGGAAGAGAAAATTCTTAGCACTTGGAGAGAACTCAAGTAACAAGACTGTCTGCGAAGGAAGAGTCCAGAAAGTGTAATGACTTTACCACTTTACAGGCTAATAAAGGAAAGAGCAAATATGCTGCAAATTCAATTTTACATTGGCAGATTCCACATGCCCAGCTTAAAGAGCAGTCTGAGTTACCTGCATCAGAACCAACCATACAGTATTAGTATAGAGGGGAAATTAGTATCAGTAGTGATTAGTAGGGGATTAGTATTAGTAGTGAGGGGAAATACTACCAACTCGAACCCCTCACAGCTACTTTCCTTTGAATCAAAGCCACAGGGAGTTATTTTTTGCTTCCCATTACCTGACACCGACTCTTGATTTCATCAGTTAACTGCTATACCCTTGCTGCAGTAGTTGCCCCAGTGAAATTTCTGAAGTGGTAAGATATGAAGTGGTTGAATATGAAAGTGAAAAATTTGTGGCTTTCTGAAAATGTGACTGCTTACAGATAATAGCAAAGGTGAAAGTTGCTCAAGGCTATGCATGTTCCAGAGCTGTAAGAGGGTATTTGGGCAAATAATAGATTTGTAGTTCTGTGGGCTAGTCTGTAGCAAATCTGGTAACTTGTTTATGATAGCTGGCAGTTAGAGTAAACCTTTGCCTCACTTCTCCCTCATCTGTCATGATACGCAAGCTGTGCTGTTGGGAACGTGAGGCAGTGATAAAGCATGTTCCACCTAGTTTATGTCAGTGGTTGATTTTCTCTAATGAGGATCAGTTTTCAGGTCTGTTAGCACAAGGGAATTAGATAGACTGTGTCAATGTGGCCATGCAGTCTTTGCATGGCTGCGTTTGAGGGCTGGTAGTGCTTCCACAGTGCTTTTTTGATATTAAAAAATCTCTGCTTTCCTCTTTCTCTCTTTTTCTCCTCCCTTTCTTCTCTCTCAGAAATGAACTGTTTGTCTGTAGCAGGCACTGAGGAAAGGCAGCTTTAAAATTACTGCTTTTAGAGAAATGCATGCCATTAGCACATTCCTAAATTGTGTAGCTGAATGTCTTTAGACAGACATCTCTCTACAAAAATATCTAGAAATCATGTTGCGTAATTGAACTAAGGTTTTGGGATGTTGCCTGTGCTCTCGTCTGGCTTTTTGTCTTTTCTTTTTACGCATTTAAGGTGTATTTTGTTTTCATCTACTATTCACTTTGACTGTTTCATGTCAGGATCAGATGTTCGGTCCTTTAAGACCCAAAGTCTGTCTCTAGCTGGAGCTGAACACTGCTGGGGAAGTTCCTAATTTTCCTATTATGAAGATCTATGTGGTGGCCTTTGTGTAATGGTAGGCAGAGAATGTTGATTCCCCTCAGACATACTCCATAGGTCACTCTAGGGAATGCAGATGTGTTTGCCCAGTGCGGGTAGGGCTGGATAGCCAGGGCTGGATCATCTGAACTACCTTATCTCAATACTGCTGTTCCACAAGAAAAGACTCAAGACCTGAAACATGACTTGAAGCAACACCTCTTCCCCAGTGTAGCATTGTGAATAGAACAGATGTTTCTAAGTCAGTTCAAGATTGCTACAGAACAGCTGCCACAATCACATTATGTTTGATTTCAGAAATTGTAAGCAAGTTTTAGACAAAAGTAGCTGTAGCTTAGTGCTTATTCCAGACAGTGTAAGGAGTGGTGCGTGACCGAGCGATGGATGATCATGCCGTAGTTTTGTAGACTCAGTGAGGTGATGTGAGCTGGTGCTGCTGGAAAAAGTCATTGCTCTTGTTTCTATTTTCACTTTTCCTCTCTCTTACACCAGCACAAGTGTCATTGCAGCCATGAAGTGATCTGGATCCAGGTACTGATGTGATTGAAAACTAATTTGGGGATGGGGGTATAGTTTAGCTTTGCTCCATGTCAGTTTCCCAGCTGAGTTCACTGCATGCCTGCAAGGATGCACCCAATGACAAAGGCATAGATAGGAAGTGCCAAGATCAGCAGTAGGACAGGATGGCATCTTTCAGTGGTTCTGCCAGCTAACCCCGCAAAAGAGTTGGTAAAACTGTGACCCCAGTAATGGAGAGAGGGATAAACCATCGACTTAACCTGCTGATTTTTGTCGCACTATCAATTTTATCCTGAGATGAAAGGAATATTGTTCTGCAGCTGGCAGGTCCCGTTGCTCTCCAGCTATACACCTCAGCACTCCTAGAGGTCACTGTTGGGCTCGTAAAGAGTTGTTTTGTGCTATTAAGCTGAAGATGTACTTTTGTCTGCTCTAAACTTTTCTTTTATAGATAGTAAATGTTTTAAGAGTACCAAAGTTTACACTTCTAAACCCAAGAGGAATTACCTTCCTGTGTAAGCAAAGGCAACTTTGTTAGACTCCATGTTCAATAGTGGGGTTTAGTGTTTTTAAAAGAAAACGATGGGAGTTGCACACGTAAGCTGAGCATACGCAAAGTGAATCGATTAGAATGTTTTTGCACCGTGGCAAACTTATCATTTGTAAGCTGTAAACAGATAGAAAAATGCTGAAGCCCTGAGCATTTTACTTTCTCACAGGGAGGCTGATGGAGTCTGTGGCCTAAGTCGGATAGATTTTGAACCTGCAATGGCTGTTTAAGATGATGGTGGCCCTCAGCTGCCTTATCAACAGGATATTTAGATATAAAATATGCTTGCCTGTATAAACATAATGTAGACTTTCTAACCTGCTTATTTGTTTTGAACTATGTCTGTGAACATACAAATGCCCTTGGTTTAAATATTGATATAAACTTGGCAGTATGACTCTTGCTTTGTGCATTCAGGGGTGAATTTAAAAGATTATTCAAGATGATCCTGTTTTGTTTTTCCCACTTTAGCAACACTGTCTTAAATAGCTTTTTATTTTTCTTCTTATTAAGCTTTCTCAATTTCCATGTTACACACATCCTCAATGAATGAAGAAGGAAACAATACTGTTTGGATAGCATCTCCTTTCACTTTGACTTTTGCAAAGTTTTTAGGCTGCAGATGCGTTGACGTTCAGGTGTGGTCTGTGGGCAGATTTTGTACAAGTTTACCCCTAAGGTAACAACAATAATGTTGCAGAATGATTTTCAAATAGTCAGACTATGACCCTAATGGAGAGAAGAGTGTGTATCAGTACTTTTTAACAGTTACTTTAAGCTCTCCTATGGGAAACAGGCCCAAATGCAGTGTTGCAGATAGAATCCTGCTCATTTCCACCAACCATCGTACTACCAAAGTATTGTAAAGGATCTCTGTGTAGCTGAGTATGACTGTCCCAGTGGATCAGCATTCAGGTTTCAGTTTTCGTAAGAGTGGTGAAATGTGTTTTTTAATGCTTATTTATCTATTTTTTTCTTTTTTTTTTTGTAATTTTGTGGGAACATTTTGGTTAAGTTCTGTAATAACCTCCCTTTTGCTTTCCAATACTGAAGACACAGTATATAACCTTGCAGTCTACTGTGGTATCAAAGGGTCAATGCTGACATAGCATTTTGCTGGTTTCTGTTGGCTTGGCTGAATGAATTTCATGCTGTCTTTGTATGTATATGTCCTTTTATTTCAGCTCCACTTTGTGGCAATATGTAGCATTCCTCAAAAAATGTTTACATTTTTTGCTTCTCCATATACCCAATTAACATGAGACATCTGATTCTGAAGCATTCACACACTTCTTTCTCATGGCACCAAGGTCAAGCCCCAGGGAATCCCCTAGCATTAAATGTGATGTGCAGTGGAAGGAAGAATTGGACTTACGTGTTTTTGTTGCTTCTCTGTCATGTGAGAAAGACTTTTACCCTATTCTTCTATTACAGGGTTTGGAAGATGAACGTGGTTTGGTAGTTTATTCCCCATGGAAAATGTAAAAAATACAAAGCTTTTGCTAGAGAACTTATCCACAGCATGGATAAAAAATAGAATTGTGATTATTAGCTTACTTTAAGCTAATGCCTTGTCTGCAGGTATGCAGCTCTGCTGATGGGGGGAGCTCGCTGGCTTGTTTCTTTGTCAACCATCAGATGCCATGAATGTCAGCGGGGAAAATCTTCAGCCTTTAAAGGGGGTGTTGCATTCTGAAGAGAAAAGGAGGGGAGGAGTGGGGAAGGGCTGGTGTTTGCAAGATGTCTGTAATGAGTTGAATCATAAGTAGGCAGTGATGTCAGGAAGCTACCCAATAAGGGAGCTGAGCAGAAATGATGCATTTTCTTGCCATAGGAATCGTTATTCAACAAATTCTCCATGCATTCATGGAATTTTTTTAGGACAAAAGCTGATGCTGAGCTGTACCCATAAGCCTCCTTCCCTCCTCTTTGGGGTTGCATCTTCAAGTACAGTGTCCCACATCACAGAGAAGCAAACCAACAGCGCAAATCCAATGTGTTTATCTCCCCCTAGCAGATAACCTTCAAAAAGCTGAAACACTTCCCCAAGCATTGGGATATGGAGTTTTCTTTTCTGATGGCATTTTTTATTTCTTTTTTTTTTTTTGTCTTTTGTTGCTTTTGTCTGTTCGTTTGTTTTTGTTGTGTCTTTTTTAGTTTATTTTAAGTTGTTTCTTTTTGTGACATGCGGTTTCAGAGTCAGGCACCGCGAGCACTGTACCTTGTGGCCTCACTTTCTTTTCCTGCTTTTTTCCTCCTCCGCAGATCCCTCATCCCGGCAGCACTGATCAGTCCCATACTTCCATGCAGCAAGGTTTGCACGTCCCTCACCCCAGCAGCCAGTCAGGGCAGCCATTACATGCCTCCCCAGCAGTCCCGGCAGCCACCCCCGGCCGCTTCTAGCAACCATCCACACAGTGACCTGACCTTTAATCCCTCCTCAGCCTTAGAGGGTCAGGCTGGTGGACAGGGAGCACCCGACATGCCGGAGCCCTCGCTGGATGTAAGTCTGTGTCATACTATCATCTGCCTGCCATAGCGTGTGCTTCGCATCGCGGCGGGAGGGCGGGGAGGGTGCGGGGACGGGGAGCTGCTTCCACGGCACATGCCATCCTTTCATGCTTTGGTACATGGGCGCAGGTGCTGCAGCCGAGGTGACAGGGCACTCCTGGCTTGCTGGGAGAACAGTTCTGGTTTGAGCAGCCGTGTGGCGCGCGAGCCATAGCCTCTTCCTAGCGCTAAGACAGGCATTTCTTCAGGCGGCAGTCCAGGCACCAGGAGGGGAGCCACATCCTCCCTTCCCCCTCATCGCTGAACGGGAGCTCCCACGTGCTCATGTAGGCTCTGTAGCCATCACAGTGCCTGAGTGAGAGGAAGGAAACAGCTGTGTGTCGCTGACTGTGGCGGAGTTGCGCCAAGTGAGCTGCACGCTGAGCCCCGCAGTGTGCCCTGGCCAGTGGGAGGGGGATCTGTGCTGGCCCATGCTGTGGTACTGCCCCTGCTCCCTGCAGCCAAAACCAGGCTGTGCCCATCCGTACCCACTTGTGCAGGCAGCTCAGCAACACAGGTTCTTCCTCCTGGTGTGCCACACGGAAGAATGAACAACAAGGACGTCTTCTGCCTCCTTAGCCGCTATGGGAGGAAGCTTACAATGAAACAAAGATAACCTAGGTTTAAGGCCAAAAGTGATCTTCCATCTCTTAGCATCCATTCAGTGAAGTCGGAAGTGAATTATCTGAGGTATCTCTCTGGTTAACCACCTACCTCCTGAAATACAAATTCCGTAGCACTAGGATTGGATTTTTGTTTGAGTCATGCGTTCCCGTATGTGTATCTTCTGTCTGTTCCCAAGTCTGCTGCTGCGCAGTGTAATTTTCTTAGAGAAATGTTCACCTCTGTGCCTTGGATTTATATCTGTATTTACTGTTGCTGTATACTGACGTCTTCCCAGTCACGCAGGAGCCCTGTGCTGGCAGGTAGCCTCGCAGAGGGGCGGGAAGGGACTAGGGGAGGCATGGGTGCACCAGTTATAGGAACAGTGCTCAGTGCAGTAACTTCTATCTGAACCAGACTGCTGCTGTTTCACATAACATGGTCACATTCACATCCTTTGGGAATGGTAGTTCATGTGGCAATTAGAGTTCTGAACCGTTAAGGACCCTGTATTAGCAATATTAACAGATGAAATAAAAATGACATTTTTACTTCAAATATTTAAGAACACAAAGTATGCTGTTATTGCTCAGGCACTCATTCCTCGGTGAAAAGCAAAGTAGAAAAACCTGTGCATTTATCACAGTAGCGTGGTTATCTCTGATGGGGGTATGCTAGATTCTTAACAGGAGGCTGAAATTATCTTAGCTACATGAGAAGGCAGTGTGGGGAATATAGTTCCCTGAAATATCTGTGGGCTCAGTCACAATCAGTTGTATTATCTTAATGGGTTTAACTTTCAGCAGCTGTGTTGTGGAACCAGGCTGGATAAAGTTCCATGCAGCAAACCAAACAGGGGACTGTACCAGGGGCAGGCAGCTTAGTCCACTTCCTCCTGGCACAGTCACGTTAATTCTTTAGGGCTTAAGTGCGATGCAGTCTAAGGTTTAACCTAAAGTTTAACCTAGGATATAGGACATACATTGTATAGATACAGAGCCAGGTGATCTGCACTCATACCTCAGACAGCAGAGGCATCAGAGAAGAATGGCTGATCAGACCTCTCAAAGTATTCACTCCGGGAGCACTGGGTGCACCTCTCCAAATTCTGCCCCTAAGTCTAGTCTGTTCTTCTGCCTCTCTCCCCTCCCTGGCGCTCCTCTGTCTCTTACCACTGCTCCAGCATGGCACCCTCAACTTGCAACAAGTCTGTGCTGAGGTCTCTGGTTTTCACACCAGCCAGGCAGGAGGCAGGCTGTGCTGGCTGGTCCTCCGACCAAGGCAAGCCGAGGTCACCCTCCGAGCTTGGAGGACTTCCTCTTCACAGATACTGAGCATGTTGTTTAAAACTTACACTTTTCCAAAAAAAAAGATAACTATTTAAATCGTGTGTGTACAAGAATGAGCCTCAGGGACGTTCTGTTAGTTTTTTAAGAATTGAGTTGTAAAATCATAGGACAAATGCAACCATTTTTTACTTTATATACATTTGGTAGGGCCACAGTTTTATTTTGGGCTTCTGTACTTGGTATTCATGTATCATGATAGCAGGTGAAATACATTTAAGCCTTACATCTTTAGTCTAGAACTCTGACAGCAGCATTTTTGCCATGAATAAGAGGAGGCGGTGTTTTAAGAAAAGCATTCCTCTGGGAGATTCTGTTTGTGTAAACTTAACATCGTGTTTTTTTTCAAAATGCTTAGGAAGTATTAAACTTCTTTCTGCATTTCGTGGTTAGCTTATTGAAAGATATGTTCATCCATATAACATTAGAAGATGAAGCTGCATTTTCACAGGAGTAACAGAAGCATATAAATATAATATTTGCATGCTAAATGTGATGCAGCCAAGCTTTTTGGTTTACCGTATTTGAAACAGAACAACTTCAAATGAATTTCTCATACCTGCTATTAAGTTTGTTAAAGCAGTCCATATTTTTCTGTATTTTCTTTAACACAACACTGAATATAAAGGGAAGTTTATTACAAATATAAAGGGAGTTTATCACAAACTCTTCCCTGGTGTTTTTTTTATATATGACACTTTTACTTTGGGCTAAGATATGGCAAGATGCAGAATAAAGCAGAAAACACTGCCTGGTTACTCAACCCAGGAGTTAACGATTTCCTTGTTACCCATTAGATCGAAAAGAATCCGAGTGATTGATGGTTGGAAAAACAAGATTTCCTATGAAAAACACAGTAGTAATAAAAATATGAGTAACACCCCACAGCTATTCCTTTTGATACTTTAGAAGATTGGTGCATCTTCTATTGGATGGGGTGTTATGCCCTGACCGTTTAAAATGTCTGGAATTGCACATAATGCTGTAGCTGAGGAAGTACTTCCAACTACTGTAAACTCACTGCCACAGAAGCAAAAGGGCTTGCCCACCTGCCTTGCCACTCCTCTCCCCATACTCCTTCACAGTTGGGGTTTTTTCCTCTTTTATTTTTTTTCCCCCCTTCTTTCTCCTTTCTGGGTAGTTTTAGCCCTGGTTGAGTCCCCTGCCCCTGAGCTTAAATCTCAGTGCACAGGGGTGAGGAAAGGACAAGGCTGCCTCTTCCTGTAGGGTTGCAGACTTCAGGTGATCATCACATTGCCATGTGTGAGTCACATAGACCAGTCTTTGCTGAGCTACCTTGAAGCTTAAATATGTACTACTCAAACCACGTGGTTAAAGTTTTTACTTGGTGTTCTGTATGAAACTAACCTACATAACAAGCATTTATATTGAATTTTTTGTCAGCATCGCTAGCCAGGAAATATACTTTGTTTATAGATGAACTTTGTGATGGGAAGGTTGACTGAGAAACCCTAACTGAGATGGTAATGTGATTCACAGGTGAAAACTGAGCAATACAGGCCTTCACAAACAAGTGGATACTGCATCATCTTAGGGTGTTAGGTTTGTGTCGCTGCCTTCCGACTTACTTGGATATATACTTGTGAAAGCCAGTTTCCAGGAATGTGTGGTGTTTAATCCCTTTCTTCTCTCAATTGTGTTTCTGTTACCTGTAATTTTCCTTTTATCTTTGTATTTTATAGCTGCTTCCAGAACTCACAAATCCAGATGAGCTGCTTTCGTACCTGGATCCTCCTGATTTGCCAAGCAATAGCAATGATGACCTTCTGTCTCTCTTTGAGAACAACTGAAACCCTATGTATTCTCCCATCCCTTTCACTTGTTCACATGTGTGTGGCTGCACAGCGAGGAATCTTTACACTCCTTTTCCACAAGAGAAGAAAAAAACTCACAACTTGATCCAGTGGTGCACTCCCTGCTTTCTTCATCTCAGAACTGCTTTTGTCAGCTTCAAAGACTGCGAAAGTAACGGGAGAAAAAACCACAAAATAGAAATAAATGCAGTAATCTCTGAGTCTGCCGTGCTACACATGACAAAGAAGCATAGACAGTTGTGCAGCTATTGGAAACCCCATTTGTTGTTCATCCTCTAGAGAGAGAGTTCTGTGATACACATAGTGTGAAGTATCTTGGCAAAACCGAATCTTGGCAAGGGAAGAAAAGGCAACAAAATGGAACTGTCTTTAATTGACCCATCTCAGAGTGTCCTTCCAACGTGTGTTCTTCCATTTATTTGAAACTGTATCTCCTCCCTCCACCCCACCTCCCCTCTGCCCCCCTCCAGCCACAGGTTTGCGTTGGGGTGATTGTCCTGGCCTCACACACAAAGGAAAACAAAAACACATACAAAGCGCAAAAAAGCACAAATCCTACAGCTAAGTGGCAGAGATAGGGAAGACCCACGGGCCTGTCAGAGGGAGCCAGCAGTGTAGCTCATGTGACTTAAGTAACAGAATCCTGAGAGTCTTCAGGCTGCAGCTGCGGGTGTTGGTATTTCTGCATGTGCAGGAATCGTAACCACCTCTGTGCAGAGGATTCCTCTGCCCGAACACACAGATTGGGAACACCCAGGAAAAATTAAAAAGTAAAAAGTGTTGGCGATGTTTAGGGATATTTTTGTGGTTTTGGTTTGAAATCAGTACTTTTTGTGGCTGTGTTAGCACCCAGCTGTTGGGATTCTGTAATAGATCTCTTCGCCGTGTATGCCATATGGAATGGAAAAGAGAGGGAGGGGGGATGCAAACCAAACTGTTCTTGATTATTACCGACGGCCTTTGGTGCCCCAAGCGTTTGTGTCACTGTTTGTACTGCACAATACATAGTAAGACAAGCTGGGTTGAAGGCAGCCAGGAAGTGATTGCAGGACGGAGGGAGAGTAACATCATTATCTGCATTATTTGTTTTAATAATTGGCTTGAGAAGGGGCATTGACATTGGACAGACATCTTACAGCTTCATTTTTGTATGCTTTGCGTTCCTGTTTTGTGACTGTTACAGATAATTCAGCCTTTTTCTTTTCTCCTCCTTCAGTTTCTTTTTTTTAAGCTTTGGCTGCCGGGATGAGCTCTTTCTCCTGAAGGACCGGGCATGGGGAGAATCAGTAACTGTTGGTAGATTGCTACTGCCCTCGAGAGACCCTGCTGCCACAATCACTGTCTTGCCCCTGTGATCTGTGCTTCTCGTGTGGTTGCTGCTCCTGCATGAGCTTCCTGTTGCTTCTGTGCCCATTTCTGTGCTCTTTGTCTCTCTCTCTTTCTCTCTCTTATAAATGATGTACAGTAGCTGTGTAAGAAGTGCATGTGTGCCAACTTTGCCCTTGTGGTGCAACATTTCAGCTTTTGCCCACTGTACGGTTATTGGTTTCGTTTCTTTTAGTTACTAAAGCAAATTTGACCCTACTCCTTTTCCTCATCCCAAGTCCAATCCAACACCCTGCGTTTGCTCACCACAACACGTTTTGAACAGAAGTGCCAGGCAAAATTCTGTTAGTTCCTGTCGGTTTGACTAGCTAGCTGCCTAGCCCTTCGTGTTTAGTTTGCAATGCTGTAAATGGCATGCTCTGTGCTTATGACTCTGGATTTGCTTTCCTCACCAAAGTCAGATTTGTAAATTCTTTGCAGTTTTTGTTTTGTTTTGCTCTCTTTGTTAACGTTTCCCACTACTGCTGTACATGTGTCATGATATATATATGCTAGTCAGCAGCACCTTGCTGTAGATATTAAAGGAAATGGCGGTTTAGTTCTTTTGTTTTCCAGTAGGAGTATTGAATCTGTCAAACATATTATGTAGAGATGGTCCCACACTTATATTTTTCCTGTTTCAAGTTTTTTTAAGAAAGGCGCTGTTCATTATGCAAAATCAATTATTTTAAGAATTGCTATTGTAAATATCTTTGTGAATATTTTAGTATCGTCTTTGATAATATTCAACATTTTCATGATCTGGTTATACTTTTGCTGGTGTTTTTAAATACCTTGTCTGAAGAAAAATATGGGTCCTTTTTTAAAAAAGAAAATTGAGGGTTCTTTAACAGAATGAGGGAGTTGGGTTTTTTTCTTTTTTCCCCCTCCTCTTTTCTTTTGATGAATTAGCCCAGATTTCATATCCATTTATGTGTTGAATGAATTGATACATCAGGCAGTACCTGGACAATCAGGGCCCAGCTCTGTCACGGAAACATAATAATAAGTGATTGCCTAGGGCAAAAAAAACCCTAACAACTAACTGACCGATGTTCACTGGCTGTGGGTGATTGAGGGCTGGTAATGGCAGAGACATTGTTCGTTTGCCCAAGTGAGCAGAACACCTAGGACCAGCTGTCTGAACAGGTAAAGATGCACTAAGGCAAGCAGCAAGTATGTGAGGTACCATATTTATATCGCTCCGGTCTCTGGAACCAGGGCACAGTAACACTTTGGGATGTTGGTGGGTGGGGGAGGGAAACAGTATAGTATATTTTATTCTGCTTAGAAGTGTCTTTTTTCTTATGTAGGCTTGACAACCTGTAGAGGATCTCTGCAGAGTATTAAAGATACCTTGGTGTAATACATGGTAATATGGTTGTGGTGTGGTGCTGCTCTCGCGCAGTTCCTAGGAAAGGCCGTTCTTCAGTTACAGTTGTGTTTTGTAGCCATTTTACTGTTAGTAGTTTCCCCCTGTATTTTTGCTGCATTGTTTATGTAGGTATTGAGGTCATCTGCAGGGGTGGCTAATGATAAACTGACTTTTTGCCCTTAGAATTTGGGGGTTTTGTTGGGAGGGAAGGGTGAGTTTCTTAAGCCATAGGTTTGGGAATAAAGAAGATTTCTCAGTATTAGTTGGAACTGGTTGCTCAGATTTTTTTAATTGATTCTGTTTAATGTTCCACCCTTCATTAATTCCTGAGCAGCTGAGTTAGTCACCTGAAATGATTTTTTTTCTCTTAAACACAACATTAGCGTTTTAAACCACGTATGTTAAGGATTGACCTTTTGCTAACTGGTAGTATTTAAAATGTATCATTTAAAAGTACCTGTTGGAAAGTATAAAGGGAAAAACCCCACCCATAGGTATTAGCAGTGTGTTTGGAGCAGTGTTTGCATCTGCTTTGTACAGTAATAGAGAATTAAAGCAGACAGTTGACATTTTTTAAGCTTACAGAAACATTTGGTTTCTAAGCAGAACTCGAGAGAAAATATGATTTTTACCCATCACCCAAATGTTGGACATTTGAGACAGTTTTAATACTTACCTGTCAGCTAAAATCAGGTACTGTATAGTGGAGTCAGTATGAAAAGGCTTCTGAATGAAAATTTAGTTATTTTTTTATCTGTTCACTGCCATATTAAAGTTTAGAGAAAAAAAGCCTAGCAAATAGGTAATCACAGTCATTTCTTTTAAAGCTTAATTATTATATGAAATTCCAGTAGTATTTTTATTCTTTTTTTTTTTTTTTTAATTTGTTCACTCTTAAATTGTTTCCCTATGGAAGTTCGTCTGGGAAAGAACCCACAGAGATCTACAGTTCTGCTGCCAAGACATTACTATAGGACTGACAGATACACGCCAATGTCTGCAGCGGAGACTCAAGGGACAGCTGTACATATGTAAATGACAAATAGAGACATGTTAACAGAAATGCATTCATTTTCCTTGGAATGTGCATTGTTTTTATTTCGCAGGAAAAAAAAGCTTGAAGCTCCATCTTATGTGGAAAATGAATCCTGTTTGTTAGCGTTTGTGGAGTCTCAGCATTTGTTTCACTTTCACTTCTGTAATATACGCTGATCCTTCGTTTTGTTTTGTTTTATCTACATGTAATATTTAGCTTACGTGTACTAGTCTATCACCTGTGTATTTTTAGGGTGCTACAGAAATAATGAAGAAAAATACGGGGATTCAGGAAAAAAAATTGTAACCAAATTCATACTTTGTACAATTTTTGATAACACGATCAGAGGGGAGTTAAAAAAAGAAAAAAAAAAAGAAAAAAAAGTACAATCTGAAGCAACATGCAAAAATGGCCATTGTCTTTGTTTGTACATTGTATGTACAGTACAATGCAATCATTTCATACTTTAAACTGGTCAGAAAAATACTTGTGATTTTTAGTCTTGCAAAACTGTATGTAGTTAGATGATGTGACAACCTAATATTTATCTAATAAATATGTATTCAGATGAAACCTGTATATTAGGTGTTCATGTGGTTATTTTGTATTTAAAGATCAAATTATTTGACTATTGCTAGACATTTATATACTCTGTTGTAACACTGAAGTATTCTCATTTGCTCATGTTAATTTTTTTTCCTAAATAAATCTGCAAAATTAAGGTCTGGCCAATTGGCAGCTGCTTTGTAAATTTTGAGTTTCTTTTTGAAACCACCAACCTGCCCTTCGCCCACCCGGTGTGTGCTAACGTGGACATCAGTTGCGCAGGATGCCCCTTTTCAGGGAGCAGGACTTGCTGTGGGAAGGGGAAGGCGTGAACGACCCTGGAAGAGACACAGAAGGACAGGTTATGAACTCAAATTCACTGCCAGGCATGGGATCACATGAAAACAGTCCCTGCTGAGCAAGGTATCGGTGACTCGCAGTTCAGTGCGCGGGGCACTGCGTATCGCCTAAACAAGTAAGAATTACTTTGATAGGAAAGTCTCTGTGTGATAGAAGTAACCAGAAAGGAGGGATTGTCTCTGGTCTTGGCATGTGTGGAGGGATTAAACATCCAACAAGTACATGATTAGCTTTGTTTTAAATTCTCATGAGTTTGATACTTCAGTTGGGGCCTGTCATTGAAGTGAAATTGGTGACCCTGGAAGATGACTAAAATAAGATTTTTTTTTTTTAATGAATCCGCAAGTTGAAGGACTTGGTTTCAAAATGCAGCCTTTGAGTTACAAAGTCTGCTCAATTTATCTGCCTGTTCAAGCAGACCAAATTGTGGAACAAGGAATACAGAGAGGGTCCTACCAACAACAGCCGTGGCACACACAGGCCCTGTCTCAGCTGCATCTGAGAGCTTGTTTTAATAGAGTATAATATAGGGAGTATCACTGTATTTGTATATGCATATGGCATTTGTGGAAGGGTTTAGTTTAAACCCACCTTTGA